ATTTGTGAAGTCGCTTTGTAGCACTTGCTTGGTCAGTTGGCATTTTCTAGTAAAAAAATCCGCAGCGAAGGCCTTCTTCCTTTCATACACCATATGAGCCACTCTGAAAGCAGCACCTATTCAGTGTATTTATGTGAGACAACTGTAAATACTCCAGCTTGACACGAATAAACAATCCATTTAAAGCATATTTTGCCACTATTTTATCCGAAATGTGATCGATTTACCATGACAACAGTAATGCGCTGTAAATAAACAGAACTACAGTCTACCACACGAAGCGATCTGCATGTTAGCTGTTTACCTGTGACTGGTAGAATGAGAAAGCGGTAAACACCAGCGTTTTGCATAAATATTTGCTTTGTTTCCCAGGAAGCGAAAAGACAATCGAAGAAGTGGTAGGCTGAAAATATTTGACTGTAATCCCAGTGGTATTTCTATCGTCCAGCATTTTCACGTCGAAAGAATGGGCGTAAGGTTAGTTTGTCGCACGTTTTCAAATAAAGACAAAGCTGATAGGAGACCGAACTTTATGTGAATAACTGGCGTCTACCCTTGGCACCAGGCAAACTTTCGAATGGGTATATATCTACACATTTCTCCAGTTTGTTGTTTACTTTGATAACTGGGGACAATTCTGAGCTTCAAAATGGGCAAACTAGGTAGTGGGATGTCGCGCAGATTCCATCACTGTCAGCTCAAATAGGTAGGGAACTTACCAAAATACACTTATTTGCAAACAAATTTGGTTTTGCGAGGGACTCACCTGGAACCTGACTGAATCCCTCGTTTAATCTATTTCCAGACAACCGAATGTGCTGCACCAGGCCACCTCATTTTTCCAGAGATTAAGCTGGGTCTCAGGTGAGTCTTTCGCCAAACCGAATTTGCTTGCAAATGAGTAATTTCGGAACATTTGCTTTCATGTAAAACATAAGGTTGTCGGAAACTCGAGGACTGCCCCTGACGGATAAGCCGCAAGGGGGGCAAAGCCGGTCGTGGGATGTCAACGAATTTTCAGCAACCTTATGAGTATGCATTAAGAATATGATGCGAACCTTCTTCTGAGAAGTCATCACTCGGGAAGCTGGTCAATAAATGATCACGTGATATCGTTTCCATTATTCAAATGGGAGTCGCGCATCATCCTGTCTAAGTGTGAGTTAATCACACTGTTAATCAGCCGTTCGTTGCTGAGTGAGTAAGCGTTCAAACCACTAGCCCGAGGATTTGAAATTCCTCAGACGATCGTCAGTTGAGCACTGATTGTAATTTCCAGTTAGAATGAAATTGCTTTACAATGCTTCTCGGATTTTTAGTATAGACTGGCTTCACTTACAGGACAGAATCTCAGTCGTAACAGGTCACAGTCCAGTTCTACCGCGCTGCTCAACGATTTGTTATCAGTGAGAAGTGTGAATTGTGCTCAAAGTCATGTTGGCAAGGAACGTGATCCGGCGGTCAGCGGTCCGTTGAGCAGGTAGGAAAAAAGGAAGGGAAAAATGCTTACTTCTACCACAGATCGAGGGACTAAACGACGTTTTGTTCCTTCGACGTGTTGAACAGTTCCTTTCCATCTGGTACATTCGGCTTGGTATCTAGTTACCAGAAAATTGGAATGAAGTTACAGGACTGACAAGAGGTTTACAGGCCGCCGGAAACGCCCGTTGCAGGTTGTGTTAAGCGCAATCCCAAACTCCTTGAGTCTCTCTAAGAGATCTCATTGTTCTCCGCAATTGCAGAACCCGCTTTGTTAATCTGATACTAGAGAATGGAAAGCAACTTGACTCAAGCCTCAAAAGTCGTTTCGCGAAGAGCCATTCCAAAAGAAGATGTGAGTTGGTACAGGCATACAGCGTCTGATGCAAAAATATGAACAAAGTGAAGAGTAGGCTCAAACCTAATATGGAGAAGGGAGTGCGACAATTTGTCGCAGTGGAACCGTGATACTGAGACCTCAGTTATTCACCTAAGTTGCGCTCCTGAATGACTTACTAACGGGTATTTTGGCGATGAAGAGACAACAAATACATGAAAAACTGCTTTAGGCCAACTGCAAAACAGCCATTCAGATCTTTCACCTCGACACGGCAATAGCTGACCCGTTTGGTCAAACAGCAGTGATAAATAGAAGGATAAAGTGTTGACCGAATGACTGCAAACCATTTCAACTGAATGACAGAGTGCGAAAATCAAAAACTGAGTGAACAACTTGAGTGAAAACGTTTTGACGTCCGGAAAGGAGTGCTACCCGTAGTTTACCTTCCTAAGTGGTATTCACACCACCGTTTGACCTACGTATCGTCGCCAAATCTCAATAGTATAAAGGAACAAGCCATATGCTGGAAGGAGTCTGTAAAGCAGTACAATTGCAAAGGCCAGAGCCGTTCCGGAAGAAGTAACAGTATGTTGAAGCATTAACTGAAAAAAATACTGTAGCCATTATGACCGCTAAGCCGGTACCGCCAATACGTGAGAACAACCACTACACACGTTGGACCCCTGAGTGCCATCCTTTTTCGTCAATATCGAATAGAACCACGAGGAAATAAGATGACTAGAAATGGTGTATGGCCCATCATTACTGGCCATTTTAATGGCAGCAAGTAACATGGGCGAAGTTATTTTTCTCCTACCCATACAACCCTACTTCTCTTATCTCGAGAACTGCCACAAAGGCCCTCTCTTTTTCTACGTCATGAACTAAGCCACCCCGCTCCATCGATGTCTTTGGAGCATTGCCCGAATCTGGTGGGAACACCGTATCGGTAATTCTGAAGTACTTCGAATGGTATTCGGGAGAAATAACTCCCCCTCGATAGATGAACTGATCAGAGTGCACAGGTTGCGTTGGCTTGGCCACGTGCTGCGTATGCCAGTCGACCGACTTCCTCGAAGGGCTCTTTTCGCCCAACCATGTGAAGGGTGGAAGAGAGTCAGAGGCGGTTGACTTGGCAGCGAAGTATGAAAATTATTACCCGAAAAATCGGCTGCACTGATCATTGCCGTCTTCCTGGAGGGGGACCCCGTGACGGGCCAAGTGCTGTATTTATGCACCAAATTATCAGCTCCCGCCTGCAATGCCCAGCTACTTACCACCCCCCCCCAAATCATCGGTGAACGAAACTGCGGCAGCTACAACCACTGTACGACGAGTACGTGGTTATTACAGCTGAGAGTGATGATGATGCTTATGATGAGTTCCAGCTGTTATTTAAGGCGCCGTTCTAAGGGATACTCTAACAGTATGTTGCGATAGTGTCCCGTCCCGTGGATATAGCGAGCTCCAAATAGGCAAGTTCACAATACAAAACTTTGCTGCAATCAATGAGACGTATACTCAAATGAGAGTGTAGATGTGGGTGCAGCTGGCTTTCTGTAAAGGCTCCGAAAGGAAACCGCTATTTTCCGCTGATTAGAGAGCATTTAACAAATCGTTGGCTGCTATGTTTTTCAACTGCCTGGCTGAAATGAACTTGTGCCAAATGAGTTTTTGGAGAAAACTTAATGTAGATCGAAGTAAATGTTTCAAGAGGACCTCCCTAGAAGAGCCGTTTAGCATTCCGCGGACTGTAGAAGCACTCACGGCACTATATCATCACCAAAGAACTGATTGAAGGAGTAAATGTTGAGGACCTCCCTAGAAGAGCCGTTTAGCATTCCGCGGACTGTAGAAGCACTCAGGGCACTATATCATC